AGAGCCTCAGCTGTGAAGATGTTGGTTTGCTGCAGGCCCTGAGCACAGGCAGCGTGGGTCTGGCCCTGATGGGGGTCTGCTCACACCACAGCCTGAGAGGCCTCGCCAGACACTTCCCAGGGACTGCAAACACAATGCACACAAATGCATTTGTCTCTTCTTTATGTATCTTCTTTTCTGCTCCAATCCCTTCAGTGAGCTGCTGACAATGTGGCAAAGCAAACCGCAGCACTTGTGGGGGACCAAGATGGTGGGGACCAAGCTGCTGCTCCCGAGGGCCGGCACCACACAGGCTGGCCCCTGCCAAAAGCCCAGTGGTGGGAAGTGGTATCCTGGGCTCCCTGCCTCCTCTCCCTGGTGGCACAAGGAATCCAGCCTTGGGAAACTACTGAGCCGTGGCACAGGCTGCCCAGAGAGCTGTGGGGGCTCCTCCTTGGGGATCTCCAGAAGCCGCCTGGGCACGGCCCTGGGCAGCCTGCGCTGGGTGGCCCTGCTTGGGCTTGGAGCAGGTGGCCTCCAGAGCTCCCTGCCAGCCTCAGCTATTTTGTGATTCTGCAAATCTGTTCCTCGTTAGATGTCTGCAGTGCCCTGTGGTGCTGCTGTCAGAACGTGCCAACAAGGCCCAACATATTTTTTAAGTCTATTGCATTTCACAGTTACAAACCTGGATGAAAACCAATGCAAAACCATGAATACAACTTCCTACTTCCTCAGTCAGCATCCATGACAGACCTATTGTTTCACACGGACTTCCAAACCCCATGCTAAGATCATACAATATCCCAAATGTCAATAATCAGCAAAAGACACTTCCGAAGGCCAGGAAGCATAGAGCAAGAAATCCTACAAAGGAATCCTTGAGAAAAAAATGCCCATTATTTTTTTGCTCACCTGAGATACTTGTCTGGCCTTGCCCACTATGGATTTGAGCTTTTCATTCTTTAAATTATTTATCCTCCCAAATTCTTTGTGAGATGTGTTGCAGATGGGGCATAGAGACCCTCACCTCCGAATATGTAGGAGGCCTAAGACAAAACAAGACCTGAACCCAAATACCAGGCTGGGTCTTTCGTTGTCTTATCAACTTCCTCTATCATCTTACTGACGCATGTAGAAATCACCAAGAATCTAATAATATAGATTTGGTATTACATATGTATGCACACAGACACACAAAATAGAAATTGATATGAACTTATTTTAGGTAATATTTATAACCTAATGACATTTATATAATATATGCACTGTTTATGTAAAATATAAATTATATATATATATACACATGCTTTCAAACTGCATTTGTATGACACGTGTACAACATGTTGTCTCTCACTGAAGAATTAATATTTTCTACTTTTTTTTTTAACCCCTGTTCACTTCTCATTTCAATGCACAAGAAAGAAGCTTCATTAGTAACTTATTTTGGCTGACACATACTTATGAATGTGTAGCATTTATCTGCAATATTGATCTCACAAAATGTTGCCATGATATTGCTCTCCTTTGTTTAAAGGTCTCCTCTGAGCGGTTGTTTGCAAAGGCTGTGTAGGAGGCTTTGCAACAGGGAGTTTGGAATTGTTTTCTGAAAATTATTCCGAAAAGTCTGTCCTTTTCAAGGTCTTGGCCAGGTGCAGAGCTATTTTCCTCTTTTCATTTTCTTTACCTCTGTAGCACAGAATAATAGTCCTTATCTAGTATTTTATATACAAAATACATGGCAGAATCTCTACCACATGCTACTCTTCTTTTGCCAGCTTACATTCAGTCCCTTAGGGACCAGCCATTTTAGGGACTGGTACTACCACCACTACACTCAGTGCTTTCCTTACATCACATCCAGACCCCAGACGTCGCCGGGTCTCTCATGGCATAAATTGATGTCATCCCTGACAAAATCTGCAGCAGCTGTCTCTTGCTCAGCTGCAATGCCAAACGACCTCACAAGGTTGGTGCTTCCAAAAATACTGACCAGCCAGCACCAGCACAGCTGCCAGTCTACCCAGGCAGAAAGCTCCCCCCAGGTTTGACTGCCATGGGGAGGACAACCAAAGGGCATGGGTTCCGACACTAGGCTCATCACAACACAGAAGGTGCACTAGAAGTTGACTTATGACCAACCCTTTTCACCCAGTATCATCACCTAGATGTGTCACTGGGCTGGCAGCTTGGTCCTAGCCCCTTACACACAAAAGCCAGAGGGCCCACCTGTGAAAATCCCGGTCTGCTTCAAAAGTTGCTGGTTCCTCTCCTGATGGATGCCACAAATATCAGCAATTTGGCCATGCTGGCTGTGGCACTTCTGCCAGGCTGTTCCCCCAGGAAGCTCTCTCTTTCACACAAATAGCAGCCTTAAGGTTTTTGCATACATTGAAAAAAATGCCTACATGAAAAAGCAGATACTTTACCTAGTCTCAGGGCACTGGGAATGTAAATCCATAGAGAACTTGAATAAACATAATTTCTTAGTGCGTTAAGGAGTTCAGACTGTGGAAAGAAGACATTTCTGAGAAACAGATTTTAGTCTTTGAAATAATTAGACTGAGCTGAACAGATTTTTGGCATTATTTGTAAGCCAGTCATTGTTCAGCCTTTGTACTTAGAAGAGCAATTATGACTCCTTTGGAAACATCCTTAGCTGAACTCTTAAAATAATAAAAACACTCCTCCATAAGACCACATTAACATATGGTTTTTGTAATGACAGCACAAACAAATCACCCACTCATCAAACACATTTAGGAAGAAGACAGGAACAAACAGAACAAACAAATTTTCTGAAGATTACTTACTGGTCCTGATCAATCAGGAAGAAAACAAAATAAAATAAAACAAACTCAATTCAGGAACTGCCTATGGGATAAAGGATACACATAAAACATGCAACATACCAATCACCAAACACATGAATACCACTGAACGTTGTAAAGCAAAGTTTGCAAATATTAAGCTGCAAAGCTGTATTTCAAAAATGTTGAGCTGCTGATGCCTGGCATAATGATCCACTCTCTGGTTTACTTTTTAACTTTGGTGATGCATAGTGAGTAAGCAAGAAAGAGACAAAGTGTGCCTGCAGTGATGATTGGTGGCTGCATGGGTGCTACCTGGGTTGAGATGCACGGACCCCTGACACCTTCCCCTGGCTCCAGGCAGCTCCGAGTAGTCCCAGGAGGGGAGTGCCTCAGCACATCTGCCCAGGTCTCTGGAGCCTGTCCCCGGCCACAGAAGTGCCCATGCTTACCAGGAGACCAGTCCTGAGGCAGTCCTGAAGCAGAAATAGGGTTGCTGAGGTAAGCAGGCACAGAGTGGCTTTGAACGGCACGGCACTCCCGTTCTCACCTCATGTAATGCATAGAAACATGCATGCCATACAGAATGGCTGTGCTTTTCCATAGCTTCCATTTTCTCACATTTCTGAGCACCTGGGAGCACTCCCCTTCTCCTCTGGCTCACAAAGCCTGTCCCTGTGCATACCACATCTTTTTGTGCAGAAGCTGGAGCCCCTGCCCAAAGCCACCTGCCCGTAACCCCTGCCAGGTGACACGCAGACCAGCCCTGCTGCATGACCCAAATCCTCGCAGCACACGCACATCTTCCTGGGGCTGAGCACTGACAAACACCAGTGCAGCCTCCATGCAGCTCCCCATGACAGCTTCAGCCAGACCTTGGTGCGGAGGAGAACGGGAGCAAACCAGCTCCACGTTCAAAACAGGGTGTGCACACTGACAGGCCCCTGGAGAGAGCCCTCAGTGTGAAACAATTCAAAAAAAAAAAAAAAAAGCATGAGCAGATTCCTCCAAGGAGTGTTTCTGCCTGCATGTAGGTCCATTGTTTGTGCTTGCTGCCTTCCAAGTGCATCTATGCTTTGTCAATAGAAGAATAGGCGAGAAAACTACGCGCTAATTTTGATTCCAGTTGGGAAAGGGACCGAGCAAATCTCTCACACTTGTTGTCCTCCCCTGAGTACCTCCAGACATGGCCGAAGAAGAGCATTAAAGAGTGAGCTCTTGGCACCATGTCCTCTCTCTTGCTGTGGTCTGCAGGACCGGGCAGATGGTAACAGAGCTGGGAAACATGTGCAATAAAACCTGGGTAGATAGAGCCAGAGTGTCTGGAGTTAATGACATGAAGAGGAACGAGGTTTCCTCCTCTAACTACTAGCCATGCCATTTTTGGGTTCAATCAAAATCAGCATTGCTGCTGCTACAAATATTTAACTCAGAATTACGTCCCAGATTGCCGGCAGCACTGCCCCTGTCCTGCCATTTGCTGAAGTCTCCGCACAGCAGCGCTTGGTCTCACTTAGGGGGCATAGCACTCACCCTGTGTGCTGCAAAAGTCACTGCTGAGGCCTTGAAGGCACCGCAAGTGCTGAAGATGATCGGTGCTGGTGAGTCATGGCGGGGGGAATATTTCCACCCAAACAGATGTTAATGAAAATCAGGAGGAAAAGATGAGCATTATCTGTCTTTGAACAGTTTTATCAGAGGCAATAGCTGCTTTCAATTTTTGTCCAGCTGTGTTACCACTTTATCAGAAATAAGGATCTGAGTATTCAGAAACTGGAAAAATTAACAGCGCTCCCAGAAACAATGCTGCGATACAGTCTACTCCATTATTATTGAGCTTTGAAAGGTAACTAAGTGGCAGCCTGATCCTGTGGGGATTTTCTCAAGAATTAATCTTTGTTATAAAGAAATTAGTTAAATTTGACTTGACGTTGCCGTTGTGAAGTTAAGGAAAGTCCTGGTGACAAAGTGCCATTGCTCTGCATGAGTGCCACAAGGAATGCATCTCTCATTTGTCAGCCTGTCTGCCCAGTTGCCTGGGGCCTCAATCTTTGCAAGAAAATTACCTTTGAAAAACAAATCCCTAATCGCAGGGCCGCTAAAGCAAGTTACTCCTTTGGCCTGAGAAATGGTGTTTTGATGTCTGTGTGTAGGAAGGAGACACAGCCACCAGGAGCAGGGCAGTTGGCAGGGGGCCCGTGCTCCAGGACTCCCACGTTTGGCTGTGCCGGCCGCATGCATTTTTCGGTTATCAGGAAGAAATTCAGTTCATGTTATTTCAGCCGAAAACAGGAGCCACAGAAGAAGCTTCGCAAGGACTCTCCAGAAGCTGGAGGTGAGCGGAGAGCAGCCAGGTGTTTCGGTGTCACCAAGGACTTGAAGGGCAGTATCTGATCAGCAGCTTTCCTTGCCCGCTGAGATGACTCACATGAATTATCTGTGTATATTGTCTAGCGCTTACTCATTACAGTTCTGCATTGTTTTTCACTTCTTGCAAGAAAATGAAAAACATTGTTACTACTTTTCTCTTCAGTTTAGGATTTTTAACTTTTCCTTGGTGCAGGGTTGCATGGACAGAAAAGCCTGAATTTGTTCGGGCTCTTTGCCACTCAGATGGCATTTCTGGAGGGTCCTCAACTTTTTCATTGTGCATTGTTTCTAAATCTGCCCTGCCCAGTTATTATCCTATTAGTGTTAGCTGTGTAAAAAGCCATTCAAATGAGTTTTATTTGTCTCTGAATTGTTTATGTGCACTTAAGCTACAGAAACTTAATGGGAACATCTGTTAACGGCGTAAGTGGTATGTGTGATTGATTCATTATCAGAGATGCTCTAATGAAGTAACTCCTTACATTTTCTTCACCAGGAAGAAAATGCCAGGAAGGTCCTCTGTCAGCCCACGTTCTTGCTCTCCCCACTGCTTTGTCTGAGCTACGTGAGCAGCGGTGGTAGGTAACTCCTCAATACTTGCCAGACATAGCAAGGGGATCAGAAAACTGTCCCCGAAGGACAACTTCAAATTAAAATGTATCGCTGAACTCATGATCAGTGCTGAGAGCTGTTGAAATAATTTCTCTAAAAAAAAATACAGCACTACAGTCAGCACCCTTCTCTTCTACGTCATGTTATGGATATGCAGCCAACCAAAGGTTACCTCCAGGAAGTTAAAAACCTTTTATTTTTTACTTATAAGAAAGTTACAGATTAAGAACACAAGCTTTGCAGAGACCTTAAAAAGTAATAAAATAAAAGATATTTTATATTTATTTTTGAGAAAAGTGTTTTGTTTTGTTTTTATAAACAGCATTTTATATATATATATATATATATATTTAAATCGGGAACATGACAAGAACTGCATCTCATTGAGACTTATATCACATTAAAGACAACCTTCCAGTGCCTTTTAAGGCTTTCTGGAGATGTCTCTGTTCCCCTGCACACCCTTTATTTGCCTCGGCAGTCACAGGAAGCCTCAGATTTAGCTCAACTCTCCGATCTTTATGAAGCATTTTGACTGTGCAAGATAAACCCTCATGAGTCACCGTAATCATCTACTTGCTCCCACCGCTTCAGTGTTAGCTGCCCTCCAGAGATATCCTAAAGCAATAACGAGTTCAGCTTCACCAGATGCATGCTCCAGTGCAGAAGCTAGCTCCCCTCTAGCCACATGTGTGTCATATCGATGGCCCAAACACCTGAATAGGATTTTTACAGTAGCATGAAGTCACGGTCAAAGCGTTGTGTTTGTGAACAAGTCTGATAAGAGATCAGAGATGAGATCAAAAGCTTAATGGCTAATCAGCTTGCCTTATTAACAGTGCAAATAAAATGAAAGTGGAAAGATCAATCTTCTCCCTTAACTCTCTATTTTTATTCCCTTACTTTTCTGGGCTAGGGTCATGGGAATGTATCCTGCTGCAGCCCGACCTGCCACCTACCATTGGTTTTGTTTAATAATTAAATTGCAGGTGCTGTGGACTCAGCGCATGTTGCTTTGGAGATGCCTTTGGTTCTTACTTGCTTAAAAGCCTCTCACCACACACTCTTTCAAAGGTTTCTGGTTTTGTGCACGTTAATTTGATCTTTCAGCAAGGGACAATTAAACTACTGCTACCTAATTTGTACAACAGATAACCCTTTCTCCACCCTGCCCTCTTCTCCTTCTACATGGACTGTGGTGGGAATTTCTAACTGGTATTTCATTAATATCAGTATTAGTATCAATATTAGTATCGATAATCAAATTAAAATGAAAGAAACTGCTATAGAGTTAGAGGATTACAAAATGGAAAAGCAGAACTTATATGATGATCCCAATACAGAAACAAACAAAGAAAAAAATCACATAAGTAACATTTTACAAAGTTAAGAAAAGTGACAAAGGAAGACTGGAGACAACTGACACAAAGAAGCGCCATCAAGAGTCCCTGATGGAGATGGCACAAGACACAAGGACAAGTATTTCTTAGCATAATACCTGCAGGGAAGAGAATTGCTATTTTAACCTCTCCCTAAGTGCATCACAGTTTAGATCCCAGCACCACTCTGCCAAGGAAACACTGGGCTAACTCCTGAGGGAAACTTTCACTCCTGCTCCAAAACCCAGCTGGTAGCTGTTGCAGAAGAGCCACCATCACCTCCTCCACCGCCTGCCCCCTGCAGCCCCTCGCAGCAACCAAGCCCCTTCCCATACTCGACAAAGCATTTCTCTGCCACGTGCTGGCCATCCAGCTTTGAATAGCAGCACGTCCAGTCATGTTTTTGGCAAGGAGTCATCCCCTCCTTCCAAGTTGTTTACTGTCAGGCAATCCAAAAGTTGTTTACCAGGTTAAATCTACAGAGAAATGAAGTTTCATTCACATCCACAGTGAAGGTAGCTCCTGGCCTGCAGCACGTGTGGCCTTCAGTTTTCATAATTAACCACAAAAGGTGGTTAAAATTCAAGCGTATGTGTCCCAACTCGGAAGCCTGGCCAGCACCACAAAGGAGCTGTTAGGATTGGCATCACAGGGGTGTCTGAAGGCTGGGGGGCTCTCCTCTGCCTGTGCTCTTTGGGTTGGCTGTTGTGTTTTGTTTTGATTTAATTGTTTTAATTGTCTGGAAGCCGAGCATCCCATGTATGTTCTCCTGCAAGCTGTGACAGTGAACTTGCCTGTTACAGGCACATGGTCAAATGGTGGATACACAGGCTGAACTTCTAGCCAGGAACTATAAAGCAAAGAGAGCAATTTTGCTGTACAGTCCAGATGCTCCAGGATGCTCCTGATGCTCTTTTGAAACTCTTGTTTCTAAAGAGCCCTTAAGGTTGAACTGAAAATGTGGTCAGAGTGTAAATTGTTTACCCTTCCTTGATTTTTTTTTTCCCTGTGGACAGCTTGAAGAAGGCATCTATGTGCATTTAATTTGACTGGACTGGGGGGCTTTATATAGCTGCAGAGCTTGAATAATATGTGATCTCCTCAGTAAGGTCTAACACGATTATGCAAACATCATGGCGGGGCTGGTCAAAAGCCCTTCATAACACACAGCATTGCTGGAGCCACTAGGTTTGCTGCTGTCTTTGCACAGATTGTGAAGTTTGCAGGTGGAAAGAGTAATCCTGAGGGTGTTTTCTGTGCTGGCATCAAGCCGATCCCACAGATAGTGCCAGAGACCCTGTGCAGCCATACAGCAGGCTCAGCAGCTGCCCTGCAGCAGTTGAGGACCTGGCTGAACATGGTTGCCAGAGGCCCACTTCTCAAGCCTGCCCAGGTCCCTCTGGGTGGCATCCCTGCCCTCCAGCATGTCCACGACACCACACAGCTTGGTGTTATCAGCAAACTTGCTGCGGGTACACTTGGCTGTATCTCCACACCACAGCTGTCAATGTCTTGTGTATGGATGTGGATGTATCCTGACCCCAGAAGAGAGGTCCCAGAGACCCCCAACATGCCCAAAGGTCTTTCTCTGTCTGCTTCCCCAAATCCATTTGGATTGGCATGAAACAAGAGCAGGGCAAAAGGAGGCAGGGCTTCCTGGTGTGCTTGTCTGATACACAGGATCCAAAGCAATATGAGGAAGGTTTTGCCAAAAATGCTCCAAAGGCTTGTGGAACAGACAATGTGAATGCGCTTGGTATAACTTGTGTGTATTTTAAGAGTAAAGCACCATAGGGTACAGCTGAGAGAAGAGTGTAGATGTGGCCATTGGTACCAATGAGTAGGGCAAGCCCCAAGGTCAGAGGGACCTGATGACAGTGGCATTGGGTTTGGTGTTGTACCTGCAAACACCATGTGAAATGCAGACACATGCAGAAGTTTGTCAAGGCACACTGAAGTGCTCAAGACAAATTCAATTTAACAAGCAAATTACCATTTTCTAGACTAGTTTCAGTCTCCAAGTTGATGCAAACACAAGTTGCATTTAGAATATAATGCTAATATGAATCAAAAAAAAAAAAAAAAAAAAGGATTGATCAGATAAATCTGTCCATTATCTGTCCATTCTGAATTCTGATGAGAAATTAATATAATTGTATGTACAAAAATGAGGAAGGTCATCTGCATGGTCATTTAAAAAGAGTGAAACCAAATATTAAAATATTGCACAGACTTAGGATTGTCTCTGTTAGGCACTGGTTAAGAAATGTCAAAGCATTGACTGAGACACAAAACAAGGTATAAAGCTGACTGTGATGAGCATACTGAAAATCTTTTCTCTCATTTATCCCTTCTACAGCCTCATCTACACAATGAACAAGGGAAGTGAAAGGTTGCAGGAGCTCCACAGGGATGCACTGAGGCAGACGAGTAAATACTCGTAAAGATTTATCTTCTGGGATCTCCCTGAGAGAGAGAAATGGAGCCATGGAAGCCAGTCATACAAACTGCTGTAGGTTTTCCAACTGCATCAACACTTGTGAAGCTGAAAATAGCCACCGGGTCTAACTGTGTTAGTCGAAGCACCTTCTCTGTTCTCATTACCAGATCATCTGCTACAAGAACCAGCATCATGCACGCATACGCTCAGGTATAAACACAAATTGACAAGAATCAGGAGGACCTGAAATATCTAGATAAAGGAAGCCTTTTACAGAGATACAGTGGAAGAATTAGCAGGGTTGTCTTTTGTCCACTCTTGGCTTTCTGAGAGGATCTGGGAAGGCAGCCTTGTTAGTCTTGTTAATATGCTAACTATAAGGACTGTGCAACACAAATTCTTTCAACAACCTGCTAGTGTTAGAAAGACATAAAATAAAATAATTAATTTAGGAACAAAAGTCAGTAAGATTTCATTATTGATTGGGAATTCAATCGAATAACAACAACAAAAAATGTGTATGCTTAAACATGAAAGGTCCAAAGATGTTATTGTTTTGTCAAAACAAATTGTTGAAGATATCTCTGTTCTGCATGAAAATAGATTTATTGAAAATCTTAAGTGGCATAGTTCCCCCATTTATCAAATGATGTTCTGTGGGGTTTTGTTTTGAGTACTGAGCAGTTGCATCAAAATCTTTTTAATTTGGGGAACTGTGACAGTTCTTTTTTAACTTCTGTTTACCAGTTCTTAAAAAATTAAGAAAAATATATACTACATAATTCTATCTTGGCATGCTACTGTGTGACCATCATGATGGCAAATGTTTGTAATAAAATCAGTTAATAAGCAAGCCGCTATTTTAGCCACACTAACTTCAATCCCAGACCTAGTTTAAGAAGTATCTTCATGTAGGACATTTATTTTTCTATTTTTCGCATGTCTGTTAAGGCTGGTATAATCAAGAGGTTAATTAGAATCTTAAACGCATAGTTCACATGTTGAGAGATTTGTCTCACTCTATGAAAAAAAGCTTTATGACATCGGAGAGTGTTTTTATTATTATAATTGCCCATTTTGAAGAAAATGTCTTGTGTATTGGCAGCATGAGAGCCCAAATGAGAGACTATAAACATTTTAAAATAGTAAATCCCCAATTTTCTTTTATTATTTATAATACTTGAACTCTCTTGCTTTCTTGATATTCACATTGCCACAAAGTTCCTGAAGCTATACTTATTGTGCCATCTACTATGTTGTGAGTATAAAGACTGTACAGAACTGCACACAATAAAAAACTAATGAAGGCAGTAAAATAAAATTCTGTGGTTTTTCGCTCACCAAAGCAACACAAACAGCACCCAACTTTGCAATGAAGGAGGGAGTAAACTGAGGTCAAGTGATTCTGAATTTCACTTCTGGTAAATGCTTCTTGGCTTACATTTACTTTAATTTTTAAGGGGGTTGCGTTTTGTTTTCTTTTCTGGTTATTAATTTTTACGGGATGCCTAATACCTACGACAATACAATGAGAATTTTTGAAGTGTGAGTTGTGTACAGAAGGCTAAAGCTGCATGTTGCCAGTTGCAATGACTACTGCCACAATTTTATTTCCAAACCACAGTAAGAATTATACAGAGACTTTCTGATGGCTACTTGTTTGATGACCTTAGACGTATCAATCACCAAGGCAAGTAAGTCTTGTATATTTTCATTTCATGAGGGAAAAAAAAATAAAAATGCCTTTATCTAAGTGGGCCAGAGCCACAGGAATCAACTGGAGATGCCTTAAATCTTTTTGGGCACACTGCTCGTGGGATGCGATGGCTTGAAACCTAGTAATGTGAGGCACAGACGCCAGGCTGGGGTTTTGGTCTGTCACATTAAATAACGTGTCTGTTATTTATCAGACAAAGCGGCACACGCTTTTTTGTCTGGAGGGGCTCTGCCATGCTGCCACGCCACGGGGACCTTGCCCAAGCAGCAGGTAGCAAGGAGCAGAAGGAGGCACTGCCATGGGGGTGGCACCATTTTGGCCACACGGCGACTGGGCAAGGCACCCAGGCCTCCATCTGTGCCGTGCTGCTTGATGTCTCCCACCCTGGGAGGGGATCATCGGGCTCTGTACCACGGCTCTGAGCCCTCTCCCGACCTTTAAAATGTGGGATGAGAGGCAGGGTGCGGATTGCCGAGAAACCAAGCCCCACATTACAGCGGGGCTACCCCCAAAATGGCGGCCCTCCCCGGGAACTACATCCCCCACAATCCTCCGGGAGCCCGAGCCGCCTCGGCGGCCCGTGACGTCACCCCGCGGGGAGGGGGCGGGGCGGAGCGCGGCGGGCGGACCATAGAGAGGGGCGGCCGCCGGCAGCGCAGAGCGGCCCCGGCTCCGGCCCCGTCTCGGTGGTGACCCGCAGCCAAGATGGCGGCGCGGAGGCCCCGCCGCGCCTCAGGTCAGTCGGCGGCCGCGTGGGGCGGGCGGGCGGCAGCGGGGCTCGGCAAAAAACACCCCAAAAACGCCGCGGTGGAGGTTTGGGTAGGCACGGGGGGGTGTCAAACGTAGCGTTGTCGCACGAGGAAGGGCGTTCGTTTGGTTGTTTTGTCAAAAATAAACGGTAAAATGTTGTTATTTGCAGCGCGTCGTGTGTGCGAGCTGTGGTGTGCCTCTGCCCCTAAAATAAATTATAACTTAACACAGTTGACAGGCTGTGACTGAGTGCTTTGTTCCCTTTTTAAACAAGATAAACTGCCTTTGGTACCTCAAAGTTAAAGAGAGCATTCACCTGCAACTCTTTATCGTGATGGGCCTTGTTATTTACTATCACTTAAGTGATAATAAAGGGAAAGAAATCATACCTACTTAACTATTTTCTCCATTTTCTCTTCATATTCTCCATATTCTATCTATTTTCTAGCTTTTCACTCACACTCGTAATAAGAGGTTAAAAAAAACCCCACAACATTGTGTACACGAACAGAACATTTACATCACAACTCCTTACAATTGTAGGCAATCACGAAACTTTTCTCCTCTGCAGTGACCCCCCAGCCCTGCTGAACTTACCCTAAATAGGTTAAATATATTAAACAGAAGTGGACTTTAACCCTCTGTGTGTGTATGCTGAAATATGGTGTGCTAATAAAACGCTCCTTTTTGAAAGTAGGCCACCTCTTCCTTTGATGTTTGAGGGTAAGCGGTATTTAGGATGGTATTTAGGTATTCAGGATGCCTTATTTGGAGTGGTAGGAGAAGGCCCAGTTTGAAAGCGTTGAGAGAATTGTGCTGAAATTATGGAACTTAATTGAAGTCCCGGCTTCATCTATTTTGTCTGTGGTGGAATGGGAACAGACGTGGCTGTCCTTGCCTTACTACCTTAACCTAATGCCCTGCCCTCTGAAGAAAATACAAAGCCAGGGATTCTTAAAAGAGAAGCATCGGCTTTCTCTTAAGTCAGGTGCGTTTCACGTTGCTGAAGATCATAAAAGCAATCGCGCGATGTCAGATGAAAGCCCAGCATCTTGTGTCTGAAAGCCGTCGGCTGCAGGGTGAGCTAGGAAAGAATAACACGGTAAGCAAGCAGCGATGCTTTCTCAGAATGTTTCTGAGGATTTTCTGCTCTGGACCTCCTGATAGCCTTTGGTGGATTGTTGTTGTTGTTCCTGTACTTTTTTTTCCCTGTTGTTATTTGGAGTCCACATCAGCTTTTGGTAGCTTCAGCATCCTGCGGCAAGCTGCTCTACAGGTTAACCAGAGCCCATCTTAGAGAGGGGCAGAGAAGACTTCCTTTTTCTTTTTTTTCTTTTTTTCTTCTTTTATTATGTTAAACCAGATGCATGCTAGCTCCAAGGCCCTTTAGTTCCTCTACTTGAACAGAGAGGAGATTCCTGTTCAGCTTTCCTGTGCCATGTGTGGATTTCATAGGTAATAACTTTCCTGTAGTCTTTTCTTGAAGATTGTGGCATAAAATCACAAAGTCCTTTGTTCTGTGAACCTCTGGACCATAGGTAGCCCATAAATGGCATCATAAGCCATTGTATTAGCCAGCTAATGCCAAATACAGTTCTGCTAATGCTTGGGGTTTTGATAGTGGATGTTTCTGATAGGTTGTTAGCTTACTGCATAACAGAAAATAACTTTCTTTCTTCTTTGCTCTTTTTAAGAACGTGAAAGCGATGATGATTCCTATGAAGTGCTGGATCTGACAGAATATGCAAGGCGTCACCATTGGTGGAATCGTGTGTTTGGCCGCAATTCGGGACCAATTGTAGAAAAATATTCCGTGGCCACACAGATTGTGATGGGCGGAGTGACTGGCTGGTGAGAGAACGTCGCTTTCATAACTGCGCTAGACCTTCTACTGTTCTTAGATCTTTTTCCAGGCTATACGAAGCAGATACGTTTATTTTCTCTAATAGGGTTTCCTTTATCGTTGATCAAAATTATGCATGCGTGAGCAATTTCTTAACTCATTGCTCTGACTCATCATCCTAAAGTCATTTTGTAATATTGGTAAAATGCACCAGTTACCTAAAGGAACCCATACCAGTTACTGCAAAAAGGAGTTGAAGAAATAAATGTCAGAACTCTGAAAGTCTAAGGAGTAAATGGAAAATTACTGCATGTCATTTTTGTTTCTATGGAAAATCAGATTAACTTACTAGCGGGGATTTAGAGGCCTAGTTATGATATTATAGCTAAGATGCCTTTTATAGGTAAAAGAAATTAAGAAATGAATGTGTGACAGAATGTATCTTTAAGAGCCCCATTTTATAGAGGCGTCTTTGTTTCTCTAAATTAAACTGGAGCCATTTTGAACAGTTTAACAGTCTCTACAGTTAACATGAGAGCAGATACCATAAATTGTTCTAGCCTAACCATGCTGTGGTGATAGGTAGAAATTGGAAAGTGTGGTCACAAACTGGGCAGCTGTGTCAAGGTATTTGACTAGTCCTTGTTTATTCCAGTGTTCTAAAAAAAAAATAATAATTTCAGTGAAAAGCAACATTATAGTAGTGTAGGAACTTTTAAAATTAAATTGTATGAGATTTGGAACATGGAAGAGGCTAAAAATGAAATTGTTATTTACAGGCTTAGTGCAGCTTTGGGGGGTGTAGCCTTAACTTTCAATCTGATTTTTGATTTGCTTTTGTAGCTTTAAAATAGCTTTTAGAAGTTAGGTGTGAATAGACCAACTCAGAAACCTGTAGGGAATAGTGAATGGGGTCTGGCATCCAAGAAGTGGCTTATGAAGGATGTAGGAACTGTATTGCAGTGTCTGTGTCTATGTACGTACATGTGTGTGTGTGTATTTGTGCATATCAATAGGAATTCACCCCCCATATTCAAGGGGAAAAAAAACAACACACATGCATTGGGCTGTGAGGGGGCAGGTTAAGTTCCAGAGGAGGAGTCCAAAGAAAATTTTTGGGACCATCAGCCTGGGAAGCATCCTGCGCCCGTCCCAGCAGGGCCCTGAGCACCCCAGTTGCACTCAGGTCCGATGGTGCAGTTCTGGGCATGGTCTGGGCCAGACGACTTCCTGCCACAGTTGTTCTGTGATGCTGATATCTGTGTGGTTCTGTGGTAGATGTGGGAGCGTTTGGAGACTGTGACCAAGATCCTAAATCGCCTTGGTCCCCTAAAAACAGGCCAAGGCCCTGTCCCAGAGGAGCGTCCTTCCCTGCCTCGTTCTCCTCTCCCCTCCAGCTTTTAGCACTTGCTGTAGGGATGTAACTTCTTTTTACCTGAGAGTTAAGTTATAGGTCATGTAGCTAATATCAATGGTAGTGTAATATATTAACCTTCCATCTGGGAATAGTTCTAATGGCACTTTTGTATCGCTCTCCTGTGCTTTGTTAAAAGTGCTGCATTGAATAGCAGCATGCAGCTTTTATGTATAGACAGAGCCCGCAGAGCTGAAGCTTACTTTAAAGGGGCCATCAGTCATCAGCTAGCAGCCGTTGCTCGTGTTGTTTTGTGTTAGACGTTATTCATTAACCGTTGTTTGTGTTAAATATTCTGATCTAAAGATTTAAGAAATGTGAAATGATACGTTTGCTTTTGTTAAATGAACAGCTTAATAGTTGTAGTCAGGAATTTTGGAGTGTGGCATTGTTGAGCAGACAACTTCATTGGACTGGGTTTTTTGTTTTGTTCTCCTAAGGTGTGCGGGATTTTTGTTCCAGAAAGTCGGAAAGCTTGCAGCAACTGCAGTAGGTGGTGGCTTTCTTCTGCTTCAAGTATGTAGAATTTCATGCTTTATAAGTTGGCAAATGTTATTTACTTAAACTGTAGGCAA